GTTTAGGCTGGCCTTGAACTCACTATATAACCCACATTGGCCTTGATCTCATGGTGATCCTCCTGCCTCAGCCTCCTGAGTGCTGGGATTACAAGTATGTGCCACCACAACTGATGAGGCTGTTTTAAAAAGCTGAGGGGGCTAGGGACGTAGCTCAGCAGCACAGCACGTGCCTGGCAAGTGTGAGGTCCTGAGTTCAATTCCCAATTAAAAAAAAAATTAAAAAAACAAGTTCAGGGGAACTAGGTGTGGTGGCATGTACCCATAGTCTCAGCCACTTAAAGGAAAAAAAAAGCTGAAGGGAACATCTCATATAAACACCTTTAGGATTAAAAGTGTGAGTTATTTATACCTGAATTATAATGCATATGTGGCTTTAGAATTTCAGGAAAACTAAAGGCCATAAATATTTACATAAATACACATAAACACAAATATAATTATTTGCAATGAAACAAACCTATAATGTATAAAACCGAGCTACCAAAAAAAAAAAAAGGGCCAAGCATAGTGGTTCATGCCTGTAATCCCAACTGTTCTAGAGGTGGCAGGATCACTAGAGCCCAGAAGTTCAAGACCAGCCTGGACAATGTGAAATCCCATCTCAAAAACAAAAACAAACCCAAGAATAATAAGAACTGAAAGCCACATTCAAAAGAATAGGTCCTTGATGTCACATCCTTCCTAAAAACCAAAATATTCCATCTATTATAACTATATCTGACAGAAGGAATTAAAATTTTTTTGTTGTTAGCACATGTTTGCAATATGTGTTTACATTCATCTTAGGGCATAGGTCTATGTACCTGACACATCTGGATGCTGTTATTCCCTTCCCCTCCCCACTGTCCTCCCTCCCTCTGGAAATTCTGTAATGTTACCCAGAAGATATAATCAGATGTCTTAGCAGAACACTGCGTACTCTATATTCTCAGTAACTCAGTAATTTTATACTTTAATAATTCTTTAATACTATACTTGCAGGCTATAGAGGAGCATTCGTAATTGGTAGATGCAAATACAACTGTGGAGTTGGCCAGCAGTCACCAAAAGCCCAACAATAGGCAAAACTGCCCTCTTCCTACACATGAAGAGGATGAGATCTTTCTTTCAGTTCACTGGGCTGGGGTGTGGCTCAGTGTCAGAGTGCTTACCCAGCATGTGCTAGGCCCGGGATTTAAACCCCAGCACAGAAAGAAAAAAAATCATCTCACTAACAAAACATCCAGTTCTTACAGAGGAGACAGCTAAGAATAGGCTGTTTTTGTAGACTAACATCTTCCCCCAGGCCAAGGCAGGTAGGTATAGAAAAGTTCTGTGAGTTCAGGGCAGGAGATAAGTCACCTAGGCAGATGATAAGAGCTCAACAAAAAGAATCTAAAACACTGGGGCACCAAAGGCCAGGAACAAAGGGAAATCACGGGGTCTGCTTGCTTCCACAGCTCCCTGCACCAGAACCTGGGCCGTCCCATCTGGATTGATGGGGTTTTGGAGAACAGCCCAAGAACTAGCTCAACAGATATGCTCTGACAGGGTCAAATGATTTTTTTAAAAAACGTAAGATAAAATGGAGATTCCCTAAGTGTACGTTCAAATCCTATTTGAACTAGCATTTGATACATGATATTTTTGTTTACTAAAGCCGTAATGTGAATAAAAACGAAGAAACACAGTCTGCATTTACTCACGGAGCAGAAGTAAGGTGATTATGTACACTTCGGCTTTCCTTAAACAGCATTCTGAAAATTAAAAAGACAAAATTACCTTTTATAGCAGGTAACAACATGATAACTGCTTCCCTTTTTTTTAAAGACAGGGTTTCACTTTGTAGTTCAGACTGGCCTTGAACTCTGTGTAGCCCAGGCTGGCCTCAAACTTGCAGCCATCCTCCTGCCTCAGCCACCTGCGGGCTGGGATTACAGGTTTTTTTTTTTTTTTTTTTTTTTTTTTTGCTTTTTCTCCGGTACCGGGAACTGAACTCACGACCTTGCACTTGCCAGGCAGGCGCTTTGCCGCTGAGCTAAATCCCCAGCCCCGGATTACAGGTTTTTGCTACCACATCTGGCTGGTTTATTTTTTAAAATCTTTTGGTTTTCAATAGGCTATTCCTTTTTTACTTACCAAGTAGAGTGTAATGGTACAATACACTCAACTTATTTTATGGAGAATTTCATATTCCTCTATTTAAAATTTTTAACAGATCAACAGAAAAGATATTTTCTGTTAATTTAAGACGGACCACTTTTAAGAAAATGGGTTGAGATAGTCAAATTTATTAATTTTTACCCCTTTAAAACTCTTGAGACTTTAAATAGGACTACTCTTCACTTGAGATACTGACTGTACTATATATTTTTTTTAAAAGTGGAAAAGTTTTACTAATATATACTATATTCTATAGAACTTCTTGTTCTATGCTCTACATCCTGTATTAAGCTATCTACATATTATTCCCCAAAGTTTAAAACCATCTTTCCTTCTCCCTTTTTCCCTACTTACAGATTCAAAACAAAAGAGTAGTCAGTAAAAAAATGATTTTCTGAAACAGAATCTCGCCAAATGGAAAAGTTGCCTAGGTTGGGCTCCAACTAGGAATCTTCCTGCCTCGGCCTCCCAGAGTGCTAGGATTATGGATGTGCACCACCATGCTTAATCACCTTTATGTCTCTGTCTTTACTTCTATGTCCAACTGTTTTGTCTTTTACAGTGCTTTTAGCTTGCGAAGCAGAGAATACCTGAGATACTACAGAGGGTGTTGGACACATTAACTTCCTATCAAAATGTCATGTGTGTATTTGTATGCGTGGGTAACATTAACAACAGCAGAATGAAAGGGTAAAGCAGAATCCAGGAAGTCACATTTCTTACCTTGCCTGCATCCAGCCCTTAGGCCACAAGGGCTTTACCTCTGTCTCCATGAAGGATTTAAGATAATCCTCAGCAGACTGGCTTTTATTTGGCTCTAACTCATAGCATCCCAATTTGATCTCAACCAGGTTACATAACAAAGATCTAAAAAGAGTTAAAATACATATAAATTTTATATGTAGTCTTATACATACAATTTATATAGTTCTTATATAATTTGTATATAAATCTGACTACAACGCTGAGGATAATTACGTTTGAAACAATTTTTAAATAAGCATACAAATCTGACAGCAGTAATATTATCTGAAGAATTCAGATAATCACATGAAAGTAACTGATTTCTAACATTTCTTATTCATTGTACTACAAACCCCCCAGCATGAAATAATTTCCTTTGATACTTTTATTTAACATACCAAGGACTGATTCTGTACCTGTGTGTGGTACAGAATCACTGACAAGATAGCTGATTTGTACAAATATATGGAGTACCTGACCTTCTGAAACCATTATAATATTCCATTATTAGATTATCAATAAGAAATATTAAAAAAAAGAAAAAGAAATAGTATATGAAAACAAAAGTGAAAACATTCTAAGGACAGATTTAGGACCAGACTACTGTGCACTTGAATATATTTTTCCTAAGCACTCATGTTGGGTCCCTTGGAATCTAGGCTTCTGCTCACGGATTCCTTCTAGGAAACTCTACTTCTGTGCTGTGTACTTGGTTAAAGGTGGAGAACTGCTGAAATCTCACCTAATGGTGTCATCCCAGTGGAATTTCTTTCTTGGTCCTATGACTCGTTTTCCTGGTTTCTCATCATCATCTTCCTCTGATCCATTTTTTTCTCGCTCTTCATCTGTTTGCAACCTAAAAAAAGTTTTATGAAGCAAAGCTTTAACCCCACACTGCCTATAATGTGCTCCATAAATACTAGCTGACTTGCTTAGATGAATGTTAACTCAAAAGGGAAGAGAAACTATCCCTCCATATAACACTTTGAACTTGGAATGAATTGTAAAGCAGCTTTGTAAAAGGTGTTCCAACTATTATAAAAAGCACAGACACTCATCTTTTAGGTCAGATTATTTGTGTCCAGCCCAAACTAGTGAGGTTGTCAGTAAGTGAAATGTTTCACCAGTGCTGGTTCTTGCTTGGATCACATCCACGCACTAAATCAACAGACAAAGCCTTTTGTCTTTGAAACCAAAGTAACTGAGTGGGGAGTAACACGTCATTCAGAAAACGTTCCCTTTACCATTTGAGCTGTGTGTATGGATTTCTACTTGAGGATGAAGGCCACTTACAACCAACCCCTGACAGCTGGGCCTGACTCTCCAACACCAAAGCCCACCCAGACAGAAGCAGCACATACTTGGCACACTTAGCTTGACTACGCGCCTGGCAGTCTTCCTGGTATTTAAACAGCTGTTCAGGCATGACATTGCTAACAGCCAATTTCAGTTTCTGCAGAGGCTCTCTTAAACGATCATCCTGAAGGGAAAAAAATACTATATCTTAACAAGATTTATCCTATAAACAGAGTCTCAAAAAGATACAATTTATGTTTCAGATACTGATTATAAATTTGAAATATTAGCTATGTAAATATGGACATTTCTTCTATAGCACTGACTTTATGGCATACACTGGATATAAAATTAGGATGATCATTATATCTTTCTTTCTTTTTTTCTTTTTGGTTTTTTTTTCCGGTACCGGGAATCAAACTCACGAGGTTGCGCTTGCCAGGCAGGCACTATGCCGCTAAGCTAAATCCCCAGTCCCAGATGATCATTATTTCTCAGTCAAGCAGAGTCCCAGTGTTTATCTGCTGCCCTAGCATGATTTGTATTTTTTTTTTTTTTTTTTTTGGTCTTTTGAGACAGGGTCTCACTATGCAGTTCAGGCTGACCTTGAGCGCACTTTGTAGCCCAGGTTGGCCTCAAAC